GGGGTTCCGGTGATCCAGCCGGTGCCCCACGGGCGAGCGCAGCCAGCCTCAGAGCTCCCAGGAGCCCTGTGGGGTGGCAGAGGTGGGCAGCACTCCTCCCGAGGGCACGGCTGAATGTGCAACCGCTCCTCTGAATGTCACTGTAGCCAAACTCTTCACCAAGCCTGTTGTGCACTGTTAAAGACTCTGAGGCCGCTGTATGGTTCTCAATGGTGTCTAATCGATGCCTTAAAATACACAAACAGAAGAAGCCCGGCTGAGGGACAGGGCCTGGAGGAGGTGAGCTTTGGAGACAAAACTGGATGCAGCGTCCTGAACCCCCGCAGTGTTTCCAGTCACGGCTGGTCCCACCTCGCTCGCTGAGATCCCAGCTGACCGTTGCTCTGGGGAGTCCCCAGCCAGGCAGGGGAGCTGAGTGACCTTGTTTGCGTCCCCGCCATTGCTGTCCCAGGTTCGAGTGGCTGGGTGGCCACCTGCTCTCTGCACGTGGTCCTGGTTCACGGTTTGACTGGGAGCGGATCGGCCTGTTTGCTGTTCCCCTCTCTGCAAAGCAGATTCTGGGTTTGTGGAAAGGTATCGGTTCTTAAACAAGAACGGTCCAGCCTTCTAAATGAGAAGGATTGCCCGGTATTACTTTTTTGGGTGTTAATTTTTTTGCCTTTTTTATTTGAATGCTAATATTTTAATTTTTAATGACTTCATATCCCTTTATTTTTTACACTATCCTGGTATTCCCCATCCCACCTGCTTTTAAGGCAGCAGAAGGGATGCAATTATTTTTCTCATTTGTTGACGAGATGATGACTGTGTCCTGGAAGACGTTCTCTATAGATGTGGGGGGGTTGTGTGTGTGTGTGTGAGATACTGTATGTACAGTGAAAACAGCATAGAAGGGACCATTTGCAATTAGCGACTCCATGGCAATTAAGCAAACAATTTAATTAATGAAAGGTTGAATAATTACTACTGTAAGTCACAGGCCTGTCCTAGACCCACCTGTGCCATGGAACCTCTTGGGTGGCGTTTTCAACGCGTGTGCTGTAGGGTATGTGTGTGAGCCTTGAGCTGAGACGAGTTATCAGGTGTTCTCCACATCGCAGAGGAACGACTCAACCTCTGGTACCTCAATAGTGTTCAGATGTAGCCTTGGAATATGGTCGAACTGTTTGGTTTCAGCTCATTCCTTTATCCTTTTTCCCCTGCTCCTTTTCATTTCGCATTTACAGAGTTCAGGTTTCACTCGTGGTGGTATTTGTTGGCCTAAATTTTCGAGTGGCTAGGGAAGGGATTTCTTCTTGTCTCTTTTCTTTGGGGGGAAAGGAGAGTTTGAGACGAGACAGGGCTCCCCAACTTCAGACAGTTTTTACGGTGATCTGGTTTCTCCTGGGCGGGTGCCTGCGTGCTTTGCAAGCCCACAAACAGTGCCTGACTTTGGACACCTGAAATTACCAGCAGCTTCTGAAAACCTGGGCTGCTTCTCCCCCCAGCCTCTCCCCAAGGACAGTGTGGGCTTCCCAGGCTGAGGAGGCCTTTTTGGCTTTTAGAACAGACTCTAAATCTGCTTTTCATTGAGCTCTCACTTGCCAAGCCTCTGCCACAGCTCGGCAGCTCTCCCATTGCTCTGTGTTGCAGAGGACCCTGCGAATGTCCAGGCTCTGCTCGTGCTGGGTGCCTCTTGGGCAGCGTGGCAGCAGGGCTGTGACTTAGCTAGGTCACAGGAATCTGCTTTGCTCGAAGTAATGATGGAATCGGTGAAGCCTGCTCTGTTGCCTGCGTGTGCCTACGCATGAGCGAGGTCTCCATCCTTTTCTTCTCATTCCTACAAGCAACATCAGGATTTTCGTCTTCTGCTGGACTCGAATCGACTGGCGCGTTCAAGGTGCTGCTGGCTGTAGGGTCTCCTTTGAGGGGGGGTCAGCCTAAAAGCCCCACGGCCGTGTCAGATGTGAAAGGTGCTGCTGCTGAGCCTTGGCCTGACACGCCGAGGTCCTGCCGAAGTCGCTGTGCGAGGAATGGCGAAAGGCCAGCCAGCCTGCGGACGGCAGTGCTGTACGAGGAGGAGAAGGCAGTGCAGGGCCAGAGAGGGAGAAACAGGGCTGATTTCAAACAAGGAATGAGTCGTCGCAGCAGTGGCTCAGCGTCTGGTCCAGTGGGCTGCTGTAGCGCGAAGGGGAGCTGCTGCAGGTAGGCGAAACCGGAGGGGAAGCGAGCAGTTGTAGCAGGCTGAGGAGAATTTTTGTGCCGTGTGCCCTTGGCCCCGTTGTGATCTTTAGCAATTCACACTACAAATGGCGTGCGATGCTGTCCTGCCTCTTGGGGACCAGGGAAACAGGTCACCCGCCCGCTGGGTCCTGAGCAATATCACCACCGAGCCTGTTCTGCAGAAACCTGGGGAGGAGGGAGCCTTTCGTGTCTCTGATGTACTAACTATGCAGGTGCTCACTGCTCTCCTGTGAAGGAGAAAGAAGGAAGGAAAGGGCAAAATAATTCCCCAGCATCTTGCGGGGGTCCGGAGCACCCCGACCCACACTGTGCAGACACGAGATGTCAGCATCTGCCCTGGGAGATCCCGGGGTGGAATTGCTTCTGGTGCTGCGCATCCCTTGCCGAGCAGGAGGCCTCGGAGGGGATGCGCGTCTGTGTCTGTCTGTCCGTGCGTAGTACCCTATCTGAGGGGAGGAGAGCTGTCAACTCTGTGTGGCTTCTCTGCCCGTTTTAGTTAGTGGCGTCTCACCCAAAATGTTGTTTGTGCGATTTCCCACGTGAGCTTTTCCCAGCGGAGGAGCGTCCCTGCGCGGGTGGCTCCGGGCTGTCTGTGTGTTGATGTGTTTCGCCCAGGGACCCCGGTGTCAGTCTGCAGCGAGACAGCCAGGCTAGGCAGAAGCCCTTGCCCCGTCGCGGGGGGAGCGGTTCGCTTAGCCTTACTGGTAGGCAGACCCGGTCTACTCCATGTCAAACCGTTGTCACTTTGATTTCTCTGTAAGTTATCTGACTTATTTATGTGGAACTCCGTTTCTCTGAATTTTTTGCACTACGTGGGATTGGGGAGGGGATACAAGCAATAGAAGCCAACATGTACAATAAAGACGTTTTCTTGAATACCGGATCCTGCCTCTTGCATCCTTCCTGTTCATTCTCTGGCCCCGCTCCCGTGGAGCTGCTCTCCGTATCGCAGGGGGGTGGAAAGAGCAATGAGAAGCTGCAGAGGTGGGGAAGGAGCCCCGGGCGGAGGGGGTGTGTGGCAGGCTGCTGCGCGGGCTCCGGTGCACCTCTGCCTTGGGAGGAACTGCTGCACCGCAGGTGAGCTAAAAGGAGCGGCTCTTAGCCCAGGTCCCGCTGGTTGCCCGGCCAGGGATGTTGCTGTCCTGTGGACAAGGTGCTTTGTATTCACAGAGGGTGCTGTGCCGGGGCTGTCCCCGCTCTGTGCGCCTGCCGCAGAGAAAGAGCAGGGCCGAGGTGCTGACGGTGTTGGGGACCGCTGGGAAAAGCCCAGCCCAAGGCACAGGGGCTTTAGAGGCAGAGTGATTTACACCTCTCCCCACCATTAAATTCCAGTTCAGTCTCCCTAGGACTCCCAGTCTCTAATGCTGTTGACAGCTCGCCCCTGCAGTGGAAATGAAAACCAGATGAGAAACATCCTCCTGTACCTCCAGCTGCCACATGCATCTTGCCGAGGGACAGGCGTAGCTGGTCGGCCCCGTCCCGCAGCGGGCAGGCTCTGCAGCGGATCAGATCCACCTTGGCTAGCTGCTGCCAGTCACTGCTGCCGGCGGGGGAAATTCTAAGCCCATTTCACGGTGGTGGGGGTGAAAAGAGCAATGAGAAGCTGCAGGGCAACATCCCAAGGGGCCCGAAAGGGAACTTTCCCATGCGTGTGTACTGCAAGCCCTGCGGTTAAGCCGCAACGCTGTACAGCAGGCATGCCAGACTTGGCTGTAGCCCGGCCGTGTCCTCTTTCTCGCTGCTCTCTAGGCTTTCGCTTCTGTTTCGGGCTGCTATAAATAACTACCATGCTGTAAAAGTAAAGTCTGAAGCCTAACTACTTCCCCTCAGCTCAGACCCTCCTGGAAGCAGAGCAGCGGGGGTCCAGTTTGCCCTGCGAGCCCCTGTGCCCAGCAGCGAAGCGAGAGCTGTCCTCAGCCGCCGGTCACACCCGGCCCTGCCACCCGTGTTGGTGTCACCCGTGTCCCAGCCGGTGAGATGATGAGTGTTTGCAGGACCTGCACTAACAGCCCGAGAGAGGCAGTTCTATCACTGTTTTGAGCTGTAAGGTTCTATTTGGAACAAGCGCGTTGGAGGAACAGCACATTTCTGGTCACAGTGCTGATCGTGTTAGCCACGGATCTTAACAGGAACCATACTTGTCCTGAATAAAACCCTGTTGTTGCTGTTTGCTGTAATTTTTGATCTCTGCCAGGAGGTGCTGGGACGTGGCTTTGCTGTTGGGAAGTCGTTCCACAGCTGTGCAGAGAGAACAGAGCCCGCAGAAGCACCCCGCCATCAAAATCGTGGCGTTTCTGATAGCAGCCCTCTGGAGAGGTGTCCTGTTGCGTTGCTCAGCCATGAAGGGCTAATGCATTATACCAGAGAGAAAGGGCAGGGGTATAAAGAGGCTGTTGTTAAAGGTCAAAAATGTGGAGGCCTTTTGGAAATTTTATGGCGTGTCCATTCTCAGCAGCCATCTCTGGGCAAGTGTTGCCTGACTGTACAATTACCTCTTTGGGGTTATGTTGATTTTGTTACTGCAGGGTGACTTCAGCTCCAAGACAAGGCAGATGCAAATAGAGAGAGTCTAACAAGTCCAGTACGTCCATAAGGCCTCACATAGCAAATCCCAGTTTGATTCAAACAGATTTTCTAGGAAAACATCCTCTCCTGGTTTTCAAAATCCCCTCTTGAAGAAGCCATCACGATCCTCTGGCCGTTGTTCCGGTAAGAAATAACCTTTCCTGTTAAAAATGCACGCCTTGTTCCTAGGTTCAACTCATCCAGCCTCACTTTCTCTGCATCTTTTCTTGTTATCTCCATGCCAGCTGGGTGTTGCAGGTCTGTTCCCCACGCAAGCGCTTCCAGCCTCGCTGCATCCCTGTAGCCTCTCTGCTACCGTAGCAAGATGGAGCTGCTGGACTGTCCCTCGGAAACGCCCGGAGGCCGGACC